TGGTACAATTGGTTATGTAAAGTTTGTATCTTGTACTAGAGGATTTCCTAAGGTGTTTAGGACTCTTAGTATGAGTTTGGTTCGTGGCTTTAGGCTGCCTACCTCATGTATAAATAGAGGGGGAGCGTGAGGCTTCCCGGTATCGTTTTTGTATCGCTTTTGAGAGCAATTGAGTTGCTAGTTTAGTCAGGGTTTCGAGTTTAGTCGAAATTTTTGTAAGGAGTGCTGTTGGTGCACTTTGTAAACACAGAGAGAAGCAATAAAGTTGTTATCTACTTTAAGAGTTCTTCGATTTGTGTTTCACCGGGTTTCGGCGGTCTAACCGGCAACTCACCGGCGGTCAGACCGATGGCATTGTGGCGGTCAGACCGGCGGCGGCGACAGCGAGCGGCAGGCGACTTTGGCAGTTCGACCGATCATTCTACATCGGTCAGATCGGCGGCATCCACTCGGTCAGACCGACAGATCAATCTCGGTCAGACCGATCTCCGTCGATTTCGAGGGTAACTTTTATTTCCGCTAAAAGTTTTTGGTTTTTGGGTATACCAACCATTCACCCCTCCTCTGGTTGGCTTAGTTCTTGTGATTCGATCCTACAGATCCTTTTCTTGATAATTAGATACTAACCTTAGCCACAAATTATTAAATTCCATGTAGTAGCAAGAGTGAGAGAAGTGGGCACCCAGAGAGTCACATGCTCCCTTGACATATGCATATCAAATCAAAACCATCTGAGAAGCATGTTACATATCTACCACTGTCTCTGCTCTGCTCAACTCTTAATAAGATAGGCATGTTGAACAGTTGTACTGATATACTACGATTCTACGAATAATTAAAGTTTCGGGGAGAGCTGCATATATGCGGTCCAGGAGCTAGCTAGATCGATATATAGATATCTTGAACTCGGCCAACCATCTCTCTCACTGATCTCTCTTCTCCTAGCTAGCCTTGTGCTGATCTGCCTCCCATTTCCCCCTCAACTTTTGTCTCTCCACACATGCGAAGGCACGCGTATTGCACAAGTGGGAACGCACCTGCCTTTCTAGCCACACTAGTGTGTATCGTTAGGGTTTTGTCGGTTTGGAAAGATGCCTCATCACATCAGTCATCAGCAGCAGATCTTCAACTTGGTGACTACTGAGAAAAACCTGCTCACCTTATACGTACGGATCAGTTAAAGGTAGTTTTTGACCAGAGAGATGGCCAAATGAGAACCAAATTCTACTACTACTGACTACCATTAGGGAAATTTCAACCTGTTTATATACATATGGTGGACGAAAAGGGGGAAATTGTAGTCGGCCAATAAGAATGGAACAAGAAGCTGAAAAATATTCGCGTATAAGCATGGTTCAGCCCACTACTAATTAACTGATGTGGACCTATATTTGCTGCACTAACGACCAAGCTACAGCTTAATTAGCACCAATTATCCGGAAATTAATAAATTGCAACCTAAGCAATAGGAAGGATATGCAAGACATTTAGACCAGTATATAACATAATTCCTCCGGTTATACCCCAAAAGATGTTTTTTTAATTATACTTTTAGAAGTTTATAAGATATACAATTTTGACCACTTATTTCTTTTGCATAAATAAAAAATAGTTATAAACATGCATGGAGTATCATGAATGTTTTTCTTATTTATATAAAACTTAACTATGTCATTTGCATATACCTACAACTTGCATAAAAATAATAACAACGTTCAAAATTAACTTATGTTTATTGTAAGAATTTTCAAAAAATATATATATTTTGACCAAATGGAGTAGTTTTTATGTAAAATAAAACGTCATTTTTTTTGTAGAAATCTAGACTAAAGTATTTGCTTGAACATAACATGTGTAAAGCTTTCCAAAATAGAGTATATGCAAACCATTAATAGATTAATGTCATAATAAAATTTTGCTCCGCTTTCTCAATAATTTTGCTCCGCTCCTCTTGTCTTCCTGCAACTCTAGTGCACTTATTGTGACGTTGGATCTGTACGTCGTCGCCCCTCCAACCCTAGAGACCTCAATTTGGCATGCTTTCTGAAGTTCAGGTCGCACCGTCAGACATCGGTGAGTTCTTACGTTGAGATCCAATGGCTAGGGAACTTGCATTTGGGGAAATCATAGTAACTTTATATATGAGCATCAAAGCTTGCATACATATTATGTAAGTGACCTTATTGTTTGGGGGTAATATTGCATATACTTCATGTAGAAAATCTTTGAGATTTTCATGACATCAATATGCAAATATATATGGCAAAAGTCAAAAAAAAAGGCCCTAAACTTTGGATGAAAGTCCATCTAGCACCATCAACTTTGAAACCGGACATTCAGCCCCGTAAACTTTACAACACCGTTTGTAAAACCCCCTAAGATGGTTTTGCATAGTGGTTTTTATCTAATTTGTATATAAGTTGGATGAGTTTAATCACATGCCATACACTTTGGACATATATATTAAAATTTTTACTTAGATATTTCTTTTTTGCTCCTTATTAGCTCCAACTTACAAACGAGTACCACCATAATAATAGTATGATATCACTATATAAAAATAAATTGATTATTTATAACTGATGATATGCAAATATGTTATATTAGTTATTTAAAATTGTTTGTTTAAGCTTTCAAGATATACAAAACCATCGTCCAAAACCACATTAGGGGTAATATATATGGATGGTATGGCAAAGTTCGAGGGGATGGATGCCCGGTTTTAAAGTTTAGGGTGTTAGACGGACTACCATCTAAAGTTTAGGAGGGTATTTGGACTTTTTCCAATATATATTGATTTTAGGTTATACTAGTAAGTTCTCTTGAACGTATAGATACATACTCAGTACTATATATTGCTGAACATATTAATTAATTAAGTCAAGCTAGCTGTTTTATTTTTTTTGAGGCATATATACACTGCGGTCTTCTCATTCCACATCATATCATACAATTATCACAAATCTTTTTCAAGACATGAACATATATAAATGACAAAATCCCCTTGATGAGTACCAGGAGGCCCAACCTAGGAACCAGGTCTACACTCTACGCAATCAAGCTATATCCTTTGGGTAGCTTAGCAGCTATATAGGCAGGCGTGTGATATTTGATACCCGTATGGTGACAAGGACAAGCTCACATGAGCCCAACTCAGAGAAATTCATAGGCTCCACCTCTCTCCCTCAATCCATCTCAACCCCTTTATAAAGCTAAGAAACTACACGGTACAGTACACCCCACTTTTCTAGCTCTTTCTCCGGTCTCCACCTCTACACCTACATCTTCTTTCACAAAGAGAGAAAAAGAAAATAAATGTACAACTTCGCAATTAAGTTTCGAAAATAACATACTTCCTCCGTCCTAAATTATAAGCCATATATTTTTTTACACGGTCTTCAATGACATATTTTGACAATTAATTTATTCCATATTATGTTACTAACAAATATGAAATTAGCATCACATGAAAGTACTTTAAAATATAAATATATTAATATAGCATGCATAATACTTAGCATAAATATGATTAGTATAATTATTAGTCAAAAGTTACCGAGTTTAATTTTTCTTAAAAAGAGATCGCCCTATAATTTAGGATGGAGAGAGTGTATATATATATATAAAGTTAACTATATTTTAGATCGAAAGAAACTAGAACAGTAGTTTCATTTTGTCCTCTCCTTATTAGACCCCACGACATCAGCGACGAATAATTAAGTCATAAAAATACAAATGCTACCACACACAGTTGTGGTGTCTAGAAAAAAATCTCATCATTAGAAAATATTGGTTAAATATCTGAGAGAGTGGATTCTAATCCTTCGAAGGGATATCCCTTTGTATACCTTTTTCTTTTAAATTAAATACAAACTGTGTTACGATTTTTTTTCAAAAAGTGATAATATAAAGTATATATAGTGAACAGTATGTCACTATTCATACGTTGAATTTGTTTTTTATATCTCGACTAGTGAGTTGATCAGTTTGGACCTAAAATTTTATTAAGTTATATAGATATGTGGCATGAGTGTTATCAAATTTTTCTTTTTAGATAATGGATATTTTATACCCGGCTTCATCTATCAAAAGATAGACTCATGCCAATTATAACAAACGTTCTTACAGAGTAACACTTGGAAACAAAACCGAGATAAAAGTTCAGACGACTAAAGACCGATGTGTCTAGCTGATAACCATCCATTGGAACTAAAAAATTGCAAAGCTGATGACTCAAGATGTTGCGATGCCGCGATCAACTGTGAACGCAGATCCTCATGCCGTTGCAGCTTCGCCCATTGGCGTAACCAATGCGTACCCCTGAATAGTACCTGCAAAAAAGATTTCGGTCCGTAATTGTCAAACACTAACTCGTTTCTTGTTAACCAAACTGTCCAGAAAAGCGCTGCTGCTGCAGTTAACAGTAAAGTATTTTGTTTTTTATTACCCCCCTTAGACCACTGTTGGAATAACTCAACTAAGTTTGATGGGGTACTTATACCAAACAAAATATGAACCGCTCGCCACAAGAACTTGGCAATATAGCAATCAAAAAACAGGTGTTGAATTGACTCAGGCTGATGACAGAAAGCGCATTTTAAATCACCATGCCAATTCCTCCTAGCTAAATTATCTTTAGTAAGAATGACACCTTTCTTTAAGTACCACAAAAAAATTTTTATTTTTGAAGGGACCTTAATTTGCCAAATTTTTATTTTTATCAAATTTTTCTAGAATTTTTCATAACTATTTGGATGGTTTTTAAGCAAATGAGAGGACAACCCATCGAGGAATAATCATATCAAAATAGTTTCCAATATCTTACTAAAATATGCACGTGCAGACATTTCCTGGGATCATTTGTACGGATGAAAATGGCATCGAAGTATTTGAACTTATGAATGCCTTGTATTTGGGAACAAAAAAAATGGAGAAAGAAAATGACGGAGTGACGTATTCGATGACAGTGTCAGTAGTATAACCAGTAAGAACCACCGATCTACATCCAATTCCATGGTCACTTTCTCTCTCTCTCTTCCCACCATATCCCCAATTCCCCATAGCTTAGAAGCGCACAAGACTCAATGCAAACCGCTCTGATTCCTCCTCTCTCTGCTCTTCTCCCTCTCCCTAGCTAGAGCTTGGCTTGCTTCCTCCAAACACAGCTCGAGATCAATAGGAATTCATAGGAACAACAATACAATACATACACGCATACATAGGTAGATCATATCCCCCTCTCTAGTATCCTATAGCTTACTTCTTTGTAACAGTGCCTATCCTCGAACATCTTGCAGAGGAGGAAGAAGGAAGAAGAAGAAGGAGGAGTTGGGAGAGAGGAGCAAGAAATACAGCCAAGAATTTGAGGAAATAGTGATAGTTTTCTATGGAGTTCACTACAAGCAGTAGGTTTTCTAAAGAAGAGGAGGACGAGGAGCAGGATGAGGCGGGAAGGCGAGAGATCCCCTTCATGACGGCCACGGCCGAAGCCGCGCCTGCGCCCACGTCGTCGTCGTCGTCTCCTGCTCATCACGCGGCTTCCGCGTCGGCGTCGGCGTCTGCGTCAGGGAGCAGCACTCCCTTTCGCTCCGACGATGGCGCCGGGGCGTCTGGGAGCGGCGGCGGCGGCGGCGGCGGCGGAGAAGCGGAGGTGGTGGAGAAGGAGCACATGTTCGACAAGGTGGTGACGCCGAGCGACGTTGGGAAGCTGAACCGGCTGGTGATCCCGAAGCAGTACGCCGAGAAGTACTTCCCGCTGGACGCGGCGGCGAACGAGAAGGGCCTCCTGCTCAACTTCGAGGACCGCGCGGGGAAGCCATGGCGGTTCCGCTACTCCTACTGGAACAGCAGCCAGAGCTACGTGATGACCAAGGGGTGGAGCCGCTTCGTCAAGGAGAAGCGCCTCGACGCCGGGGACACCGTCTCCTTCTCCCGCGGCATCGGCGACGAGGCGGCGCGGCACCGCCTCTTCATCGACTGGAAGCGCCGCGCCGACACCCGCGACCCGCTCCGGCTGCCCCGCGGGCTGCCGCTCCCGATGCCGCTCACGTCGCACTACGCCCCGTGGGGGATCGGCGGCGGAGGGGGATTCTTCGTGCAGCCCTCGCCGCCGGCCACGCTCTACGAGCACCGCCTCAGGCAAGGCCTCGACTTCCGCGCCTTCAACCCCGCCGCCGCGATGGGGAGGCAGGTCCTCCTGTTCGGCTCGGCGAGGATTCCTCCGCAAGCACCACTGCTGGCGCGCGCGCCGTCGCCGCTGCACCACCACTACACGCTGCAGCCGAGCGGCGATGGTGTAAGGGCGGCGGGCTCACCGGTGGTGCTCGACTCGGTTCCGGTCATCGAGAGCCCCACGACGGCCGCGAAGCGCGTGCGGCTGTTCGGCGTGAACCTCGACAACCCGCATGCCGGCGGCGGCGGCGGCGCCGCCGCCGGCGAGTCGAGCAATCATGGCAATGCACTGTCATTGCAGACGCCCGCGTGGATGAGGAGGGATCCAACACTGCGGCTGCTGGAATTGCCTCCTCACCACCACCATGGCGCCGAGTCGTCCGCTGCATCGTCTCCGTCGTCGTCGTCTTCCTCCAAGAGGGACGCGCATTCGGCCTTGGATCTCGATCTGTAGCGACCTAAAGAGAGAAAAACAAAGGAAAGTTCATCAACGATTCTTTTTTCTTCTTCTGTTTTGATTTGGTTTGTTCTTCTTCTCGCAGCAACATCGATCTCACTTTCTCTTGTGATTCCATTATAACCTGAAATTTGATGACAGCATTAGGATTTGACATTTTTGTTTTGTTGGCCACTTAATTGGAATCTTTCTGTTGGTTTGAGAAGATATAGAGAATTATTAGGAAACTTGAAAGTTTTCCCCAAATCCGTGTGATGAGCTTGAGCTCTTCCTTTGCTTTGTTCTATTACATTCCATTCTTGCTCGATTACTTCTGTCCAATGATTTGTTACCATAAACACAAGCCCATTTCCTACATATGATAACATACATCTGCAAAATTCTTTATATAATCTCTCCTAACATCTGCCAAGATTTGAACATATATCCATGGACGAACACAAAGCAAGCAAGCAAGCAGTGCCTGGCTGCCTCACTTCGCTTGCACATCATATGTGTGCGATATGCTGTATCCAATCGATCGCATCGATCTCGACCCCAACGTTTGGACGGCGCGTTAATAACCATGCATCGATCGACAACAAACAACTCCAGAGAGCAACAATTGCAGGTTAGATCTCAAAATTCTCTTCCATTCACTGTACCATAATTTCAGTATTTACAGTGAAAGTCGTCGTGAACGTACATTCCTCTTCTATATATTTTTCCCCCTCTTTGCCGCCGCTTTTTCCCCTGCTACAGTGGCAGTAGTACTGTCGCTCTCTTCTGCATGTATATATATCATGGATGTATGATATCTGTATAAGTAACGTCATGGTATAGAGTGTAGTACTGAGCTAGCTACTAGTAGCAGCATATGGGGGATATATATACTACTGGCATATCCAGTACGGTGTTGAGTTTTCCATGTCTTAAATTTTTCTGTTGCTGATTAACGGGGGACACTGAATTAAGTGATGCAGGGTGGACCAGATTACGCATAATTCTGTTGCTGATTAGCGGGGTACACTGGAAAATTTACTGATGGCAGTGGGACAGATTACGTATAGTTTGGATTGTCTGGGCCTTGAGCGCGAACAGTATACCAGTCCACGAGATCTTTATGGCCGTGGCAGTCTGTAAAGAGGGGGCAATATTGCCACAATATATGCAGTGGCACTCACTGGCCATAACTTCCTTGTACGTCCCGCTAGGAGAATTTATGGGGCGAGTACGAGCGATCACTGTTGATTTGGGAGTAGCAAACAGTGAGGAGGTGTACACTTGTTGGCTGTCGTTGTGCTGCGGCTGCTAGCTAGCTTAGCTGCTTCCGTTCTTGGCTGTGCGCTTGTGCTGTTTTGATCTCAGCTCCCCTATATGCTCTCTCTCTCTCTCTCTCTCTCTCTCTCTCTCTCTCCCCTTTTCCTTTTCACTGATCAAGTCATCAAGTGTAGTGTAGTGTAGCTAGCTAGGACTACTGGCCTGCACGGTGTGGGTGTGTTCAGAGAGTGATGGGAGCAAAAGGGAGGACATGAGCCGGCCTTGGCTAGATATATAGATGCATATGCATTGTCGATATATAACTAGCAATCATCTGTAGTAAGAGAGTAGGCGCATGCATTTCGGTTTTTGTTTTGCACTGGAAGGGTTTGGAATTCAGAGAATAGAGATGGATTGATTGATGCTGATGAGGATAGCTAGCTTGCAAGGGAGTACATTTTGGTCCATTTGTAAGATTGGGAAAGGGGAAAGGGGAAAGGGAGAGGGAGTACGTTATGGGAAGTTGAAAAGAGAAAGGAAAGTCTTCTACTATCTCCTTCGCAAAACAAAAGGGGGACGAATGGGAGGTGTGTTGGTACATGTAACTGTCGTCTGCTTATTCTTTCTTCTGCTTTGCTTCAGTTTTTGCTTCCCAAGCTCAGTCCATGCTATATGTGTGCATGTATATACCCTCTAGATGGTGGCTGCAATTTGATAGCTCATGGTTAAGTTTTCTCTCCTAGGGTGCAGTTAGCATGCCTTTGAGGGAATCTGCCTAGCTTCTTTTTGAGGATCTTCGTATAGGCTATGAACATCCATCTAGCTAGGATGAGAGTTTGCCGGTTGGTCCTATCTATCCTGTGAATTGAAAAGTCTGAATTACTAATTAAGGACTACAGGTACTATTCTTGAGTAGCTAAGCACAGAAATTAAAATGTAGCATCTTGCCTGAAATTAGAACGTCTTTTTCTTAATTATTATCTGCATCACCTAGCATGAAAACTTTACATGTAGCTAGTCTTGCTCGTTTTCTTAAGTTCTAATATAAACTCTAGTTTACTATCTCTATATCTAATGATATATATGATCTAGATTGAGAATAATAGGTAATTAATATATATAGTAATATACATGATGAAAATAGATGTCTAATTTGATCCATTAATTCTTTCATAAATAAGCTTCTATTACATCTCTTATCCCCCCCCAGTTATGCTGAACAAAGTTTCTCCATAGATTGACAGTGTTGCCAATCTCCCAGAGAACTAATTAATTCCTTGGAACATAATTATATCAAGTATATAAATCTGAGTATCTATAGTCAAAACATAGCTTAATTATTTCTTGTTCCGTGAATCTGTATACTGAAATGACCAATATTTTGCAAATTGAGATCGAGCGGATCAGAACATTGATCTTATATATCTTCATTTCCAGCAAGGTTATCATACCATGGTATATCTAGACATATATTTTCCGTACGCATATAGTTTAATTAGCTTTTGTTTGAGTGAAAATATATAGTTCTTACCTCTTTCCAATTGATTCTTGCTTCTTTCTTTGTTTTTTAGGGTGATTCTTGCTTCTTTCAATGGGCATTAGTCCCACTAAGCCCAATTATTTTCCTTTTTTGCTTTCAGTCTCCTTATATATATATGTTTCTCCCTAGTTTATTAACTCTATCTTAATTTATTTCTCCCCATTTAAGTTTAAATAGGCTGCATAGTAACATGCACTTCTATATATTGTTCAGTTGTAATTAGGGTCCACAACAGACTCCAATGAATTTATAGCATATTACTGATTGACACAATAATTGTATTTGTGAAGGTGACAAATATCCATATTACATATATAGCCCGGTTACCAGGATGAAATGGCAACTTATGGTGTCTAGCTCTATTCCTGTCCATATATATACTTATCTTGCTAGTGAGCTATTTTATATGAAGATGTAGATATATAATATGGCCAGTACTACTAGGCAAATTAAAACCTACGACAGGGCTAAAAGGCCAAATATTTTGGATATACATGATGAGTGATCATGAGTTGATTATGGTTACATATGATCAACAACATATCAAGATGTGTTAGTAAATCATCATGCCCTTGTGTAATTATTTTTTTCGTGAGTGTCTAGATTTTAGGCGCCTGAAATTTTCAAAAAGTCCACTCACTTTTATCGTCCCTTGTTAGATAATAATCCAATGGTTCCATTACATTCCTGTTACTTAGTGGTACTTACAACTACCCAATGGTTGAACAATAAATTATTCTAACAAACAAGAAAAAAATACAAAAATACAAATAAATTCATATAACTCATAAAACATTACAAATTAAGATACATGAAAGAAAATTCAAACATATATAGACAAAAATGAATTCAAACCATATATATAACAACATAATGTAGTTAAAATGAACCTAAATCGCATTTTGCATAGCACTGCAATTAATTTTAGGTACTATATGTGAAATTTTAGGCACTTGAAATCTAGCAATTCCACTTTTATGTTCACGTGGTAATCAATACTATAATATGGGAACGCCTATGCATGCATGTATTTCTAATTAATCATTAGATTAGTTAACAAGCAAATATATATTGATCAAGAAGGTACAATTAATTGTAAAAAAAATGAAGGTACTTAAAGTCCACAAGAAAACAACAAGATGTTGAAAGTTTTACGTTGTGTCTAACATATATATAGTCTATTCGAAAACCTTTTTTTTTTGCTATGATTTTTCTGAGATGACATCATAATGTAGGGCTAGCTATCTAGTAAGGCGGCAGTTAAAAAAATAACTCACAATTGGGAAGTGACGCACTAAAGTCGTTAGTTATATATTTTATGTATGTTATATTTTTTCATATTAACTCATGAATTACATCTATACTACAATACATGCATGCACTATATATTGCTAAAATTTGGTTAGTTTTAGTTGTGCGGAGTTGTTGATGTGAGGAATCGTACTCCTTCTGCCCCCAAAATAAGTTAACGTAGTACGGGATGTGATACATTTTATGAGCTGTCCAGATTCGTAGTACTAAAATATATCACATTCCGTACTAGGTTAATTTATTTTGGGACATACTCCCTCCATCCCTAAATATAAGGGATTTTGGTTGGATGTGACATATCCTAATACAATGAATCTGGACAAGCTCCTGTCCAGATTCATTATACTAGGATATGCCACATCCAACCAAAATCCCTTATATTTAGGGACGGAGGGAGTAGAGATTAATTGAGAACAAACACTTCATTACAGAGCTGATTGACATGTTGCACAAATATATCTAATTACACTTGAGAAATCAAGAAAGTATATATATTTGGAATATAGAATTTTTTTATAGATCACATATTGATTTCTCATTGACATGCATGTGTATGGCACTTAAGTGGGATTGATCTATGTTGACAAAGCTCTGTGATACACCCTTGACAAATTTAAAAAGGCAAAATTTGCTACAGGACACTCAAAAAATGTGTAATTAGCTGTTGAACACCCTAAAGACGTGAATTTGCCCGAGGACACTCCAAAAATGTGGTAATTTGCTACAGGACATTGGACACATTAAAATATAATATTCGGTCAATTGATGAGAGAGAAACAATGTAAAATGACAGTTTTGCCCTTATCTTCTTCTCCCTCTCGATCTTGCCGAACCTGGAGAATAGCCTCCTCAGCTCGTCGTGTTTGGGGGAGGTTGGGCCAAGCGACATGAGCTAGCACGCGATGGGAGAGAGATCGACCAGAGACAGCCGAGAGAGAGATCGGCGCCGGCTGAGTTCGACGCGTGTGCACGACGTGTCAACGCCTCAAAATGCTGAGGCGAGTCTTCATCTCGTCCCTACTGCATCACCATCTACTCCACTTCATTTCCACACAAAGCAAACCGAGGAAGAGAGCTCCAGCTCTCCCTCTCCACCTATCTTTCGTCGTCGGCCGCTGAGAAGGAGGACGCCGCTGATCACCAACGAGCTATCTCCGTTCCTATCTAATTCATGTTCTATTATCTTCTCTCCATGCCGATCAAATCTTGCTTTGACAACCTCTCGATTCGTGCAGCCAATCGACGGGAATGCTGTTGTGCCCACCGGAGCTCTGGAGCGTGCTTTGCGCACCGCCGCAGCGACATCATCGACATTCCCACTTATCTGGACCAAGCCGGGCCAAGCTGTCGCGCCAGCATCTTCGCCTCATCCTCCTCTCCATCTCCCCTCAAGGACCCCGAAAAATGGTGCACCGGAGAGGGAGATCGCACCCCTTCTTCGTCGGCGCCGATCTGAACCCGCCGCAGTCGTCGGCACTCGTCAAGCGCACCGAAGGGAGCAAGGGCACTGGCCATCGTAGCGGTGGTGATGCCGGGACCCATCGTAGCCTCCCCGCCTACGCTTGGTGCTGCCTCCCGGCCGCGCCCCACCGCACCGGCACTGTCGTCGCCTGCCCGCTATCGATCTGGCCGAACACCACTCCTCCATGGTCGCGCCATGCCATCGACCGCCCCGGCCGCTGGTGATTCCGCACCACGCCGCGCCGACCTCGCCCCACCGCTGCTTTGAGGCTGCTATGCCGTTCCCGGCGAAATCAACAAGAAGGGGGAAAGAAGGACAGAGTAAGAGAAAAGGAAGGAAAGAGAAGGGCAATCTGGGCATTTAGAAAAATATCTCACCTCTTTTGACCCGGAAATAATAAAATAATGCGACCGGTGTCCTACAACCAATTACACATTTTTTGCATGTCCTGTGGCAAATTTTGCCATTTAAAAATGCATATACCAAGACAACTGTACTTTCAATTTAGATAATCTAGCAAAGCATTCCTCAATAATATCTCATCATCTCATGCATACATAATGAGTTAATGATAGGTGTGTGTGTGTGTGTGTATAAAATTGTAATTAAAGATGGAGGATGGTGGAGGGATCTAGAAGAGAAATATGGGAAACTTGGAATATAAAACAAAATGTTAATCTTTGGCTATTCTTTTTGCAACTAAAACGTACGGAGGGAACACATGCACTGATGCATATATTGATACAGGTATGTGTACAATATATATCCACATAGCAACAGTATATAAAAAAAATAATGAAATTAAAGTAGCATTAAAAGATCGAGCCTGTTCTCCCTGGCTGATAGTACATATGCATGGGCCAGTTACACATTGCATAACTGCAGATATACGTACACACATACATGCATGCATGTGACTGTGAGAGCGAGGGCGATGATGAGCTTATGCATGGGTGATGTTCAGATAGTCAGAGAAGTGGGGGGCTTTCTTCAGGCTCTGCAACGTCTGGTTTCACTGTGTAGTAATAGTGAGGTACGGGCATATTTGGCGTGCTGCCTGCCTGGGCAGCGCGCGTATATAGCCGCATATATATACGAGTACTCTTCCTTATCTGATCAATGCCTTTGAACTACTATGGCAGAGATGGCAGGCGGCTGTAAAAGTGTAAACTGTCTCTCTTAACCAGCACCCAGCAGAAACATCTTTTAAGACCTCCCTCGAGACAAATGGTATGTGAAGAAATTTTTTAAGATTTAATCCTATAGAGTATTCTTACCTAATCTTTTAAGAAACGAATTGGAGTTTTCCGATTTCTATTGAGTCTATATATCTCTCTAATCTAAATCATATGTTTTTCTAATTGGAAGAGTCTATCAAACACCTTACGCCCATTTCCGTGTTTCTATATATATGTTTTGTGTATTCATCCGTTTTGCATATGCATTCGTCCCAAAATGTTGTGTTTTTTTTCTATTTATGTGTTTTACCATTCCTGCATAGTATATGTCAAAGGGAGCGCCCTAAGTGCTAGCTAGCTATACTCTGCATACTTAAATTCTACTATGTGTCAAAATTAAGCAAGACATCGTTATTTATATATATATAT